CCTGAGTGTTGCGTGTGCATCAGTTTTACAGATCTCATTCTCTTGAATACAGACGGTTGCTTCCTTGCCTCTCCGGCAGATACACTCCGACTTCAAAGGAAGCTCCCCAATTAGTCGACATGCTTTTGGGGAGGCAGTGAGTCTATTCTTGTTTTCCCCATAATGGGGCCCCGGAACCCACAAGGGGGATAGGCGCTTTACGACGCGTATTGAGCTTCTAGGACTAGACCTATATTATATAGACCGATCTGCACTTGGTGTGTGATTTAGTCAGCATCACGCCGGCGATCGCTACTTTCCAGGACTTAACCTGGTGTCCACACAAGGCTTGGTCGACCTGGGAGCCACGGTCATTTATGATAACAAATCCGGCTCTGTCAGGACCCGAACTTAGACCTTCCGATCCGCAGGCGAGCCTCTAGCTGCTACACTATTGCGGTCCCCGCCCCTTTGGGCTCTCAGGTCCGGGAGTTAATGCAGCCAATCAAGTGCACAACGGTCTCTTATTGATTAGTTATCACTGCACCCCGGACAAAGCCATAGGTGCTCTGATCATCTCATTGAAACTTCACAGGCGTATGACGACTGAAAACGCATGAACACTAAAAGATCACTGTTTAAAACAATATTCTTACTGAAGGTGAAGACATGGTAGGAAAAGAACTTCAGCCACTGGAATGTAACTTTTCTGCTTGTGTATGTGTGTGGGGTTGGGGGTGGAGGGCTACCAATGAAAGCCACATCTCTAACCTTCTTCACCCACCCACCCACCTTAGATAGGTGGAAATGACAAAAAGACAATATTTAAGGTAAGTACATTAGGAAAGAAAGTTACAAACTAATTAATCATCTTCAGGGTAGAAACAGAGCGAGAGATAAACCAAACAGTGTGGTTGAGGTCATTAAATGACGACCCACTGAAGTATTATTATTTTTACGTTGTTATATTTGTTTCAAAAAATAAAGAAATCGACAATATACATGTGTGTATTTATTGTTATTTATGTATGTACATTCCATAATGACAGTTATTACATGAAATCAAGAATCATGAAAACAATCTACAAGCATAATCATAATTATTTCTCTATAATGTATAGACTTGCAATGTACATCACCATTCTCTAACATCAAGTATCAATTACACAATCTCAGACACAAAATCACACCTGCTTAATGGGCTTCTAGTAAGTTAGTTAGCTAATCAATTCATCAGTGTTTGGGTCCCATCTTCAGTATCTCTCTCAGTGTGTGTAGCAACAGATAACCCCTGTTCTGTGTTGGTTTCTTCTGCATTTCTATTCCCCAATGGAGCATAAGCCCTCAACCAACTCACGCCAAGTTGTTTTATCCTTCGCCATTGCATGGAGCTCTCCCCATCTTTGTAACTTCATTCTCCAGCTCTCTTCTCCGTGTGTTTTTTTGGCCTTCCTTTATTCCTATGCCCCTGTGGGTTCCAATGCAAAGACATTCTAGTTATGCTGTTTTCCGGTTTTCTCAGTGTGTTTTGGTTTACTATTATTTTTTATGTGGCTACCTTCATAGTGTTCACATCAGACAGCATCTCTTTTGAAATTAAGTAGGGACTTCCCATATTAAAGTTAAAACAGAACAAACCATCCAATGACTTTTCAAACATCACATTTTTTTTTCTATAAAAGATTAGAAAAATAAAGTCAGTCAGTTATTTCTGATAAACAGAAAGTAATATACATTAAAACACACAAACCACTTACAAGTAACTAAGAGAATTAATAAGCAGTCACTTTTGCAAATATTTCAATTAACTCTAACATCATACATTGGATATTTTCTCCAGGTAATTCCGGCGTGCTGGAAAATGAGCAGGCAGATAGACTGGCCAGCTCTTCACCGCTTGGTAGTGAACTGATGTATGACAAGCTGGAGGTTGTGAAGGCTTTTTGGGAGTGATAGAACATTGAGGAGGCACAGATAGCTCATTATGGCCTAAGGAGAATGGCGCTGCGAGGACAAGGGGATCTAGCAGGTGCTTAACACTCATGTAAAGGTGAAATGGATATACAGTCAGACAGTTACTGGTGGCATTGGAATTGAAACTCTTCGCTTGCTGCTGAAGATAGGGATTGACCGCTTATGAGGGTGACCCGGGTGCTGTGATGTTGATTCTTAATTTACTATTTAACATCATACAGCACATAAGTTGGATACCAATTACCCATCACCACCTATTTGGATATACCTGACAGTAAGCCATGAGCTGATTTCATACATATATATAATATATATAAGCACTATACACCCAATGTGCCTTAAGGGTGTGGACAAGGGACATGTTCTTTATATAAAGACACACACACAGGGATTTCCTGGTGATACACATCACCGACTACCCCCCCCCCCCTACTGTAATAGACGCTTTGCAGTAAGTAATGGCAACAAATAAAAGTTATGCCCTACATGTGTGCGCACAAATATGTATGTGTGTATGAGAGTGTGATTATAAAGCTGAGAAATCATCAAATTTCTAAAGTCTCCCAATGTTATGATTGTTTCAAATGAAACAATTCACCTGTTCATGATTCTCCCCTTCTACTGACCGAGCTCAGAATAAATCAACACACACAAACATTTTCCACTGAAAACTGTTAATATAACTGTCTAGTAACTGGTAGCTTCATAAAGTACAGCCAGCATACTTTTCGCTATGTTAATACAAGCTTTACGTGCTTGGCAAGATGTCAACTGAGTTGGTGTATTTGTAATAAATTATAAAGGAACCAACCTAAACAGCCCCTGGCTGTTGTGTGGTTTTTCTAGGCAAATTTACGTCCAGTAGTTAATAAATTATAAACAGTAATTATAAAAAAATAATGTATTTCTCTTTTGCAATGGAAAGTGTAAGCGGCACTTCCAGATGTGACATAAACGCCATGCCACTGAGCTAGACTCACATTTATGAAGACAAACCTGTAATCTGTGTGTTAGCTAGTCGTTACTATGGTCAACAACACATCCGGCCCCAATATATACAAGCATAAAAATAGGGTAAAATACAATATAATTAATTTATACACTAGAGCAGTTAAGCATTTATGTGATTTTTACACAATTAAATAAATCTATTCCATGCTTTAAAAAAGAAAGCAAGTGATAACAAGTGTGAAACCAGGCTGAAAACTGAAGTAAATTTTATCACTGAACTACTGTAATAGAAAGTTCTGGTTTGTGCATACACACAAATGTTAAATATGTATAATCAGACAATAAAATTACCATGCGACGTGCAAATAGCATAGTTGTTCGCAGCCCCCCATAAATGTTTTATATAAGTTCACTCAATGACGATTTATCACGTCAAAACATCCAGATCCACTGGTTCTTGATAAATTCCCTATCTTCTATGCCACCCTGTCAAAACAGCTAGGATTCTCTTGAGTAATTAAGGTTTCAACCATTAGTTACCTGCTATGCCTCCTTGTCAAAACAGCTAGAATTCTGTAAGTTCTTGACAAGTTCAACCACTGATTGACTTCTGTGCAAACCATCTGGTTTCTCAGAGTTCATAAAAAGTTCACTGATCATCTTCAATTTTACCGTCAAAACATCAATTTTTCTCTGGGTTTGGTTGATCATAATGATTGAAGCTTACTATAATACATCCAGGATTCTTTACCTTTGATTGATCTTCGTCGCTGAAGTTTACTCTAGTATGGACATAATCTATCCTAGTTATTGCCACTGTTTTCTCCTCTAAGGATGTAGTTGTACAAATTCTTACCCTTTTTATCTAAAATTACAAGCAAGATTGTTCCGATTCACCCATTATGGCTTAGGCAGCTTCTATTGCTTTACTAATGCAATCTCAATTTATCTGAACTCCTAAGGTACACTCTCGGTATTCCAGGGTGTCCAAATATCTTGTCTCTTAAAATGATATTTAAAAAAATGATGACTGTTTGGCCTGAGGCAAGCAATCATATCACTTTGCAAACCTGCCTCTTCCTGTACTTGGATACTGGTCTTCATTGCCTTCTACAAAGAAACCACATCTCTGTGGCCTCCAGTGTACTTTTTACTTTCCTCTCATTCAGCAGTTATTTCTTCCCTTCTTCTTTGCGTTTGCTGGCTAATTCCGGCGGAAAGTTCAGGCTTTTAGTAAACTTCTCAACTTTAGTCTTGTTCAAGAACTGTTGCATTCACATCTGTTTTACAGATCTAGCTTATCTGTATGCAGACTGTTGGTGCCTTGCCTCTCAAAAAGGCAGATGCACTGCAACTTTGAAAAAAAAAAAACAATTAGTCAACTTTATGATGCACTTGTAGGGGGTGGGCAGTGGGCCTTTTTTTCATAATGGGGGCCACAGAACCCACATGGGGATACCACAGTCCTAGGTTTAATCCTATAGGCATTTCAGTCTCTCTCCAGAAAGCGTCACATAAAGCACAGAGCAGCGTCTGCAGTAATTCCCAAAGAAAAGGACACAACAAAACAGCATACCAAGTAACTGAGCAGGAACGGGTTCAGCTACTGATCAACTGCAATGCCTAGTGGCAAGAAAGCAGATATTACCAACAAATTAAGAGAAGAATGGTCAAACATCTTCCACTTGACCCAGGCAGCTAAATGTATTGACCTGTTCTATGCTGTGTTCCAGTTTAAGCTTTGTGCCTGTGGGTCTCAGATATATATATATAAAAAAGGGGGAAATAAATGAAGGCGGGTGACATCTGCCGCAAGGAACCTCAGGGGCATAAATGTTACAGCAGAATAAGAAGAGAATCTCCGTTTACTTAAATTCCCAATTTGTTTATATCAATTCATTTTGCATCACCATATCTGAGTGTGCAGCTTAGAAGTCTGGCATCTACACAAATTAATTCAGGATACTCTATTCCCAGCATGTACTACAACTATGAAAACATCACCAGACCCAGAGTAATAAAATCTGTCACATCCATCCAGATAGCACAACACATCAATAACATTCTGTGATGTCCAGCAATCAAGATGAAGTTCATCATACAACACAGTAGCAGCTCTGACCAGCTGCATTTTCTGACGTCTGTCCCAGTCGAAGATTTTTCCCACTGGTCTCCCACAGTCCAGGAGTCTGTATAATCTGTAAGGTAATTCACAACAGGCACAAATTACTGAGATGAAGTATCTAATTATAAACAAGACTATCATAAGATAGTTCTACACAAAAGCCCATTGGGACATGTTTTAAAAAGAAAGTAGGATTTTTTGTGCAATAAAGAGAACATATAGAGGGCCATTTTGAGGTTGGCTACCCCAGCTTTGTGTGCTAATAAAAAATATACAGGGGTATGGTGTTCACTGAACAAGGAGTGATGTTCCTGGGATTACTCAAATCACCTTTAGCTACACTAAGAAATTAATGGCATCCACTAGAGGGAAATGTGTTGAACATATCTTTGTTTGGATCAATGACTCAAAAAGCTAATCACCACACTACCACAATTCAAATACAAAATATAAATAAAAATGACATGATGTTGAATCAACAAAGTCATGAAATAAAAGAATAAATAAAAGTATGGAGGTAAAGTTACTTCACAGGCCAAGTATGAAATTAACAGCCAGAAGAACTAAGTATCAGAATCAATTGCAACTTCACAGTAGGTGAAAATAATGAAGAACAAATCTAACCTTGGGCAGACAGAGCCCTCTACCGTAGCTGGAATCTGTCTAAAGGAAACAAATGCATTATGTAACTGGACTGACTTCGTAGATGCATAACAAGATGTGATATACCTTTGAAAGGGAAGCAAACAAGAAAATTGAAGAAAAAATATAGGGGGAAAAGAGCTTCAATAAAAAATATTTCAAAAAGGATAGGCTGAGTCAGAAAGAAAATAATGACAAACAGAAGAAAACATTCAAAATTATTTTACAATAAGATGAAAAATAACTAAACAGATCATGTTCATTGGAAACAATCTGATTGAGGATGGCAGATTGAAAAAAAAAAGAGACATTTTCTTCTCCTTTGCGTTCACCGGCTGTAAACTCTGGAGGAAAGTTCTGGTTGTTCGTCCACTTCTGGACTGCAGTCCTGTTCCAGAATCTAAGTGTTGCGTGTGCATTCTTTTGACAGATCTGACTCATTTCTTTGCAGACTGCTGGTTTCTTGCCTCTCAGGCAGATACACTCCGACTCCAAAGGAAGCTCCCAATTAGTTGACTCTTATGACAAATGCTTTTGGGTAGGCAGTGGGTCAATTCTAGTTTTTCCTATAATAGGGCCCCGAAAACCCTCATAGGAAAAAAGGAAAATTTTAAACACTGTACTCGAGGAGTATGCTAATCCCTGGCACACAGGACCAAATACCTAGCGCTGTGAAGTACATTGTGTTGTGATACATCAAGTACAGTTTCTGGAAAATGAGTCAGAGGCAGACAACTCAGAATGTGGATAGAATACTCTGAAGATGAACTGGCTATGAAAGCACAGTGCTGAAGGATTGGCTAGAGACGGAGAGACTTTCAGGCCTGCAGTGAAGACAGTGATGTTCTGTAAAGCACATGCCGAGTGATGTTGATAACATGTGGTGACAGCTGTAAGGAAAAGAACAAAAACAAACTGATCTGAAATTAAAAAGTACAGACACTGAAAAAGAGATGAAGCTGTATAGCAAATTTACGACAAATCTCTGGACCTATCAAAGATGCAGACAACAAGGAATAGAGAGTGAGGAGAAGCAACGATTAAATTTATAATCTGTTTAAATCACCACTGACCGCTGGAATCAGGAAAGCTAATAGACTGAAATGGCTGGGGCATTTTGAGAGAATGTCAGATGACAGAGAGGTAAAAACTATACACAAGGGAGATGAATGGTCATAGACCATGAGACCGAGCAAGAAGACGATGGCGAGATAATATCCAGTCTGACCTGCAAACACTTGGGGGTCACCAACTAGAAAGAGAAGGCCAACCAGAGAGATGAGTGGAGGCGGGTGCTATCTGCAGCAATGAATCTCAAGGGCTTGGAATGCTCACAAAGAAGAAGACATTGAAAATATACATGTCAGAGTAACACAGAACATACCAACTATTAGGTACTTACGATAATGTATAAAATATCAAGATAAAAGTTAAGGCCAAATAACAAAATAAAATACAACTGTATACAAGAAACGAAGAGCCGCTTAAGACTTCTTAAAAATAGAACCTACAGACAAAACATCTGATCATGTCACATCACTGAATTTAATCTCTGCAAGATATTTACACACAAAAAAAAAAATAAAACAATTAGAAGCTATACATGTAAACAGATTATGCTAGTTTACATATCTAACAAATGTATTCACATAAAAAATTATGAAGGAAACTAAACACTACCCCAACCCGTGTCTGGCTCCATATACATCTGCTCAAATCTGAAGTGACAAACAGTCGTGATGCTGCGACACATTAACACTGACTCCAAAACCATGCTGCAGGACTCCAAGATTTATCAAGAGCTGATGCAACCTTCTCAAGCAAACACTGAGCATTCTTCAGAAAATCATCACCTCGCCTCAAGAGCTGCATCAATGACCACTTGTAATCTTACTGATAACAGACAAGACCCTTGTTTACCCAGCCCTCGATCAGGCACATATTTATAAAGTGACTGCCAGACTTTGGCACGTTTTGACTGTCACCATTCCCAGTGGCCAGGTAGGGATTTTTGTCTTAGTTATCCATGAAAGATGTATTTTAATCAAACTGTGACAATATAATTATTAATGAATATACAAAAAAGGTAACACACATGTTCCCTTAACACAAGCTGTGTGTGGCTAAGAGAACAGTGGATGCGCTTGACAATTTCATGATCCTCGAGTCCAAGGGTTTAATTTCTACAGTGGGCAGTTTATTTAAAGAATTGTTTTCTGAAAAGAGTACGAGAGTTGCACTGTAGAAGAGGCTGGGTCCTCACTCCGTAATATTCCTAGACAGCAGTGGGTACACTGCAGCCAACCTACTGCTCCATCAATGAAGACATAATTTTGTGGCTGTTGTCAGTCTTTGAGCATCTACTGTATGCTGTTTACCTGTTTTAAAATTTCAGTACGTTTGGTGCCTTTTCAGAAAATATAGTTTGTTTGATTGTTTCCCTTTAGATTTTCTTATTCTAGACTAAGCTAATTTTCTGCACTGCAAGCAGCAGACAGTGCAAAATACTTATTGTCTACTAAATGTTAGAAAGACAAATGGTTATTGTAATATTTTCTGTACCTTATACGAGGTCCGACAATTAAGCAATGAGACTGATTTTATTATAGTCAAGACAAAAATGCCATTTATGAAGCAAAGCATGGAATCTAAAGAGGCAACATCTATAATCTGGCAACTTTTCATTGTCGTTTGATAAGCAGACAACAAACAAGCCACCATTTTGCTGAACTAGTCAGGTGTATTGTTACATAATCAGCACGGAGCAAAAAGCTAACATTAAATTCTTTTTAAAACTAAGAAAAAGCGCCATTGGAACAGTTGAATCGAAGCAACAAGTTTATGGGGATGTTTATCTCGTGCACAAATTTTCAGGTGGTGTTCACGATTCAAAAGTGATGTGGAAATTATTACTAATGCACCTAGACGTAGACGCCAAAATTTGATGAACTCATTGCAAAAGTCACAGAACAGATACAAGAAGATAACTGTTTTACAGTGAGGATGATGGCAGATAAATCTGGTGTTAATAGAGAGACCATTCATGACATTTTAGTGCAAAATTTTGGCAAGAAAAAAGTTGCTTGCCGGTTTGTACCACATCGTTGTCTGATGACCAAAAACATCAGCGGGTTGAGTACCCAAGAGACAAATCAAAACAAGAATTTTTAGCCCTAAAACAAGTGTGTGTTCTCAGCCTTCCACTGTATTCCCCAGATATGTCTCCCTGTGACTATTTTCTATTCCCAAAATTAAAGTTACAATTGAAAGGACACTTCTTTAACGATATTGATGACATCCAAAGGGCCGTAAAATCGACTTTAAGGGCCATAACAACAGAGGTGGTTCTCACTTTTGTTAAATTGTGCCACTTGCTGTATCAATGCACAAGGGGCTTATCTTGAATCAGATACAGGTTATATCTTAACTGTTAATCATTTTAATTTTTATGGAATTAGTCTCATTACTTAATTGTCGGACCTTGTGTATATATATATATGTTGTAACTGATGGTGTTTCAAATAAACATCAAAGCTTTGCTTCACTGGTCGCTGAATTAGGTTTTGTAATTGCTGTCAGTCCTAACTACTTTAATTATACTGCAAATTATTATTATTTCAAGTATGCTAATTTTCAGTATTGTATTCTGTGTGTTCTTTCTCTTGTATGCTTATCTACTGCTAATGTACATAGAAAGACAAATGAACAGAAGACACTTTCAGCCTTCCATATCTCGTTATATACATGTGGTTTTAAGACACCAATTATGTCAATGATCAAATGTGACACACAAAAGAAAAAATACATTTTTTTAGAAAAAGAAAAACTTGACTGAAACAAAATGTAACGTTAACACACACTCACCTTTTCCACAAGTTCTTCAAAAGCACACTGGACACCGTCATTGGTTTTAGCACTGGCTTCAATAAACAGCATGTGGTGTTTGCGAGCAAACTTTAGTCCCTCTTCTTTGGTGACTTCATGGTTACTCTGAAAGTAAGCCATATCATATCTGAGCCAGTCTTCTTTCTTCTTGAAAATTATACTCGTTGCTTTTGTCCATGCAAAGCACAGCCGTGAAGTTAATCTGACACAATCAATTTCCAGGTGACATCCTTTTTATAATTTGTTTTTAAGAATTAGGCCAGATTGGGATCTCCCTACTTTCTTGCAGATTATGAACACTGTGCCACTAGACACTCTTCTGCTGTAAACTCTGAAGGAAAGTTTGGCCTTGTTCCTAGATGTGAGTTTTGTGAGAACACCTGTTTTATCTGTATGCAGACAGTTGGTTCCTAGCCTCTCAGGCAAGGGACCAATAGTCTGCAAACAAATAAGCAACTTGGTTCTTGCTAATGTTGTTCTTATCATAGAAAATTAATTACATCTGCCTGGTCTATGGCACGTCTACTATCTATATAAGCTTTACCAGTAAGCCTATCAGCTTGCTCATTTCTGTGCAAGCCTGCATGTATAAGTGCCAACACCTGACTGATACAGAAAAAGAGAAACAAGTGGAAGATGATGTGCCAATAACTGACAGAGAATAAGTGTGAAAAACTGACAGAGGATAAGTGTGAATAACTGACAGAGTATAGGTGTCAATAACTGACAGAGGATAAGCCTCAAGAACTGACAGAGGAAGGATGTCAATAACTGAATGATCTAGTTAATGTGAACGACTAAGAGCATGATTATCAACAACGAGGAGGGTAAGTGTCAACAACTGAAAGAGTAAGCATGAAAACTTTATTGACATTATAAAAAAGAATCAGCTGATAGAGGATAATTGCTAATGACTGAATTATATGGCATGTGTCAATTAATGAATGCTTTACATGTAAAATGACTGAAAGGATAAGTGCGAATGACAAAATACCCACCTTGTCTATCTTGTTGCCAACTAACATTTTGACCATGTCATGTTTTGTTGAGAACGTCTCCAACTCATTCAGCCAAGCATCCAGTTTGTTGAAAGACTGCTTGCTACTCACATCATAAACTGAAAATAAAAAAGAGCAAAGAACATCATCATCATCTATTGTGCCTTTATACATCACACAGGGCTCAGTTTATTTTTCCAATCCGTGCTACCCTCTTTTAACTGTTTCAGTATCCTGATGGAATCCAGTCTAGCCCCTTTAGCCAATTCTCATCAATGTTCTGTTCCTTTTGGATGTCTTATAGTTTTCCTAGTTTTTCTCAAGGGGAAAAGGGGGGTGGGGGCTGCGTGGTCTCAAGGCATGGTGTCCATCTCAAGTGCTAGAGGTACTGGGTTCAATCCCCTGTAAGTGCTGGGATTTATTTCGTGTGGACTTGGATTTCTTGTAATTCCCCCTGGTCTCTGAATAGTGAGATCCCTTGGCAGTTGGAAATTTAAAAGAGTAGCCGGCGCTGCCCCGGGAAGATCTAACCAATGTATTTCAGGATCGTCGTCGGTGCTATAGAGCCTGTGCACTGTGATGAGCTTCTTAGACTTGAGTTAGACAAAGAAAAGGAGCACTTATGGGTTACACCCGTGTGCCATGATGAGGTAGCAGATCAAACAAAAGTCTTCTAGGAAATGAATGGAAACAAAGAAGAATGATGCCATGTTAAAAAATTCTTGACAGCTGGAAATGGAATATTCAACAACAACAAAAAAAATTTTTAAAGTTTAAAAAAAAAAAAAAGAAATTAAATAAGCTGCATCTGAGGCTAAATTTCAAAAGTAGAATAGAGTAAACCTCATTAACCCCAGTTTCAACGGAATGGAAACTGTGTTAACAAAATGTGTGCTAGCCAGGGACCAAAACTGTTTTCATGTTCTTCTTCTTTTGTCATCTCACTGATAAAAGGTTGTAGCCCAGCATCGTGGTTTTGTCCATTTCTCTTGCGCTTTTCAGGTGGCTTGGTTAATATTTTTGCAATTTTCAGCTACACCATTAATCCATCTCTTTACTGGTCTTCCCCTGGCCTTCCTCCCAGATGTCCTGCTGTAAAAAGTCTCATATGCAGTTTTTATCTACCCATAAATGAATACATTATCATTACACAGACACTTGGATGTCATTAGCTCTGGAATGTATGCTCAAATTCTCTAGTGGTGATTTTTAAGGAGGTGGTGGGGCACTTATGGCGATATCAGTGTGCAATTTAAGTGACCACTGATTAAACAACAAAAAACATATCTATAGAATAAAAAGATATTTAATTATAAACCTCCCACTACAAGACATGCTCAGACACAAAAAATATAAAGCTAGAATAGGAAAATCACATTAATATATGTTAATAACATGCCTGTTCAGAAGAGGAGAAAAGTGACTGAAAGTTTAATCTTTCGTATCCAGATATGCATAAAAAAAGTGGCATAAACCTTTGGAAGTTCAAGAAAAATCCCTTTAATAAATCTACTTATATCTAGGCTTCTTAAACACAGTGCAAGGCAAACAGAACAGACAGCATTTAACCTGCTTTCTTGAGAACAGGCCACTGAAGAAATGGTGATTAGAAATGGAAGTGATGAGATTTTACACCTGAGGCCAAAAAGGTTAAGATATTTTTTTTTAAATCAATAATTTTGTAAAACAATTACAACTAACATAAAAGGGATAGGAAAAGCTTAGTGCATAAGATATCTGCTTCTGACCGTAAAGGTACCAGGTTTATACAATGCAACAAGACATTTTCTCACAAAATTACATAAAGATGTTATAACCTGTGTTTTCCAACTTAGCATATATAAAAAAAAGCAATTTAAAACTGAGACAGCATGGTTTTTTGGATAAATAAATAGCAACACACAACTTACTTTATATATTTTCCCAAGTTCCCTGTAAATGAACACAAACACAACTGACCAAGTTCCCTGTAAATGAACACAAACGACCAAGTTCCCTGTAAATGAACACAAACGACCAAGTTCCCTGTAAATGAACACAAACACAACGTGACCAAGTTCCCTGTAAATGAACACAAACACAACTGACCAAGTTCCCTGTAAATGAACACAAACACAACTGACCAAGTTCCCTGTAAATGAACACAAACGACCAAGTTCCCTGTAAATGAACACAAACGACCAAGTTCCCTGTAAATGAACACAAACGACCAAGTTCCCTGTAAATGAACACAAACGACCAAGTTCCCTGTAAATGAACACAAATACAACGTGACCAAGTTCCCTGTAAATGAACACAAATACAACGTGACCAAGTTCCCTGTAAATGAACACAAACACAACTGACCAAGTTCCCTGTAAATGAACACAAACACAACTTACCAAGTATAACCCCCTGAGCGCCCCTGTAGTAGCTGGGTGTTAAAGTCCGGAACCTCTCCTGGCCTGCAGTATCCTGGTAACAGTCATTGATTTACAATTTAGACAGCACAACTATTAGCTGCACTTCAACTAATCTTACTGCTAGTTCACTCACAAAGAATATGCATGGCTGAGATGCTGCTGAGAAAAACCATGGCTAGCTCCAGATATAAGGCCACACAGCGCAAACAGGAATTTGTGTGTAGATCTACTCGATAACAATTGTTACCACCGACTGGCCACGCCAGACTCACAAAAATGGGAATTCCCATTTGAGCTGTATAGCCTTATACCTGGAGCTGGTCATGAGAAAAAGGTCACAGCAATCAGGACATACCCATAACAGCCCCGTTCCCAGCTTCAGCAGTAAGCACAAGTCCGATTAGGATCGGACCAGAAGCAGTCTTATTGTATGTCCATCTTGCCTTTCCTCTGAGTGTTTGCCAGATTCTCTGTCAACACAGACCGCACTATTCTCTTCAGACCATGATGATCTTGTTGTACTTATGCGGTATTAACCTGTCCACAAAGGGCCTTGATAACATCTAGCATGTCATGCATCAATCAATTAACCACAAAGTGACCCAGGACAAGTATAGCTGAGATAGGAAGCAATTATAGTTTATCTATAAAGGAGTATGGTCGAGTTAGCAACTAACATTCATTTATAAGTCCTTTATATCACAAAAATATAAACCAATTACAGTTTAGCTAAACATAATTTCTGTGGTTGAGGCAGAAAACAGTTTAAAAACTTAAATTCATAGAGTTGCTCAGAAAAGTCAAGTCATACCACAATAAAAACTATTTATGTATTTAGGACCTTTTATTAAACCTGTGGTACCGGGAGTTGTCCTGGTGTAGTGGTTAAACGTTCGCTTGCAGATCGGAAGGTTCAGGCCCTTACGGAGCCAGACTTTTTTTTTTTAAATGACCTTGGTTCTCAGGTGGACCCAGCCTTGAGTGGGCACCAAGTGCAAGTTCTGGGAAGTAAAGGTGGTCGACGTGGTTCTGACAATATCACCCACCCAGTGTCAAGTGGTCTATTACATACAGGTCTAGCCCTATAAGCCCATAATGCATGAAAAAGGGTCCTTTACTTACACCTGTGGTACTGGGGGGTCATTAGCTAAGCAAAGAATAAAAACATGGTAACATAGAAAATATAACAGCAACATGGTAACATAGAAAATATAACAGCAACATGGTAACATATAAAATATGAACAGCAACATGGTAACACAGAAAATATTAACAGCAACATGGTAACACAGAAAATATTAACAGCAACATGGTAACATAAAATATGAACAGCAGCGTGGTAACACAGAAAATACGAACAGCAACATGGGAACATAATAACAGCAACATGGTAACACAGAAAGTATTAACAGCAACATGGTAAAACAGAAAATATTAACAGCAACATGGTAACACAGAAAGTATTAACAGCAACATGGCAACACAGAAAATATTAACAGCAACATGGTAACACAGAAAATATTAACAGCAACATGGTAACACAGAAAATATTAACAGCAACATGGTAACATAGAAAATTAAGAAAGAAATTATGATATGCATTGGCAGCTTTTACAAAACTGAACAAAATATGGAACTCTGAAACTGTAGCTTTAAAATGAAGTTAAGTATTTTCAATTCTAAAGTTACTTCAAATGCAACAAAAGCCTGTAAAAGTTAGAGAACCACTAAAGATATGGAATGAAAGTTAAATGCATTTGAAAGGAAATGCTTAAAACAAATTTGAACATAAAATAGGATGAATTCAAGAGGTGTGACGAAATAAGAGAAATGTCTGAGCAACCATATTTATAAGACAGAGACAATGGCACTATACTGGACACACTGAGAGGAAACAAGCATATTCAAATAGGCTTGACAATGACAAACAAAGGGACTGAAGAAGAGAGAACACCGAAAAAATCACATCAAAATGAAATGATGAGAGAAGCTAAAGGTGTTGGACTGAACTTCACTCATGGCAATGGAGGGATTGCACAAGATGGAATGAAACAGAGGAACAGAATGTGAGCCCAATGTGACATGTAAATGGCACAGCAGGATAACCATGATGAACAAAGAAAATTAGTTAAGTCATAGTTCAAACTTTAAGGCAAAAGTGCAATTCCTCAACTGTTTCTATTGTAAGGCAGAAAGCATGTTGTCAGCCTGCTGAGAAGCAACTAACAGGTTTGTATGAGACCCAAAACATCATTCAATAAAAAAAACTTTAGCTGAATAATCCAACCAGTCTTAGGCCTGCACATAGCTGGACATTTGGGGCTATGCTCCACTGGGAGATGAAAGAGGAAAGAAGAAAATAAATACACAATAAATTTCAAGATTCCTCATCAATTACTGTAAACATATTTCTTTTTTAAATTTGTATATCACATCATATCTGCACCTGGTAAACCATATTTTACATTAATTTCTTTTCCTTGCTATAGATCCCCCCCACTTAATTAAGTCTGTGGCTCAGAAGTTAGTGAAATAGATTCACAATGCAAAATCCTCAATGTTTACAAGGGTTTGATTCCCCTGGTGGGTGATTTAGAATACGACCATTCTTATGGCTTTCAGAAAGCAGTATGAGAGTCACACCGTGGAAGAGACTGGGATCTCACCACGTAATATACCCACAGTTAGTAGTGGATACATAGCAGCAAACTTCCACTTTGGAGACGGAAAAATGTTTGTCATTTGTAAATCAAATAATCACTAACACATTAAGTAGACCAAAGATGGCAGGAACTAGTCCAGACTTAAACGAGTACTACAACAAAGTATGTCAATATCGGCAAAGTATGGCAACACCGTAACAAGCCATTGAGCACAAGAGGTGTTCTTAAGGCTGACCTCTTTTATGAAACGTGTCCTAGCAGTTAACAAATTCTTATATACAAATATACAAGCAGTAGAATCCACTTTATTTAACGCTGAAGGGCTACAAATATTTGTATTATTATTCTTAAACAAGCACTGAATGAGGAAGCTACAATTTTGGTTAAGTAGTTATGGAGCAGATTAAAAGAACCAACCTTGAGTGTCTCATTAGACAACATCATAGAGAACATGTAAGTACTGACATATGTGCAAACAGATACATAAGCTGTAGTCTCAGAAATGAAACAAGTAGGTAAAAATAATTTCATGGCAGTGCTGCACAAACAGATTAGTTAAAGCAGAGAGTACAGAATTCATGTCGTTACTTACCCATATGGCTAATTTGGTCTTATTTCCATCAACGGTCAATGTTCGGACTTTGAAATCCACACCTGAAGTTACAACAGCAAATGTTGATTGTAGGCAGACAAGTTACAGACAAAGAAAATCAAGCTAGCGATAGACAACAATCAAACTCATCACTGTACATATGGCACATGCCATGATAAAGACATTAACACATTTGACTATGACAAGTTTAACAGACAAAGGCAATTAAGTGAATAAAGACATGATAAAATTTGACAGACAATGACACGCAACTACAGAAAGTTCATAATCATCTTGACCCTGTTCTGCCATTCATGGCTATATACTGGTCACAGGTTATTCCTCTATTCTGTTCTATTCTTTCAATCCTATTAATATAACTTACAGATCTAGCTCAACACCCTTAGACTGTCTCAGCAATGTTTGTTGTGGGTGTTCTTTTGGATTCTCTCACTTTCTCAATCTATTTGTTTCCTATTTCAGTGCTTGTCTTGTGATTCTTTGTACATTTGACCTCACAATGTGCCTAAAAATGATTAATGTATCTTCATGAAGTGGTTTCAACCATTTCTGGACTTTGGTCTTGAGTTTTGCATGTTTCACAGATTGGGTTTATCTGTGTTCAGGCTGTTAGTTACTCAACTTTTAGGTAGATGTACACAACTTCAAAGGAAACACTGATCTCACCCATGTTGGTCCTAGGTAAAGATCCTATCTATGTTGGTCCAAGGTGTACCACAACGTGTTGTTACATCCCTTTCTTAATATATGACATATCACAAATAAAAATGTTAAAAGCACATAAAATAGGCTGCTGCCCTCACCAATTTTTAAACAAAGAAATGTGCAAACAATTTGGATGGATATGTACTTCTGATGTAAGCAAATTTGAAATCTCTCATGTGAATCACACTTTGTGTGAAGCATGGTGGGAACTGCAGTACTTAAGGTATCCCCTCAATGAATGTGCAGTTAAACAACAAAAAAGTATCAATCATAAAACATCAGCCTTACCTATAGTAGCAGCTTGCTCTGGGTCAAAAGTGTCATCTGTAAACCTCAGCAATAAGCTACAAATATAATACAAATATGGGATGTATAAAATGAAACTTACAAAACAAGACACATTCAAGTTAAGGAGATAATGATGTTCACCAACAGCTAATTCAACTTGAAACATTTGACTCTTTCTGTGTGTAAATTTTTTTTTTCCCAACTGAGCTACCTAGGCATAATTTGTGTCTAAGATGCCCCTTTTTTAAAATCCTTTTATTCCTCAGCTAGTTTTGCAATTTTCTAAACAAGTTTGCAAAATGATTTATGCTGTTCCCATAGCTGATATATTAGTGCACACCAGGATATTTCTTGCATTGCAGATTTTTGCATGGCTAGATATAATGTGTTATAGGTAAACTTCACTGTTTGTCAAGAACTTTATGTGACCATTAAAAAAAAAATAATTATGGTCAAGGCAGGATATCCTTCTCTTTTAGATTATAAATTCATATTGTTTTTAATGCTCATTCTCAATGTTATTAAAGCACATTTCAAATACTTCTTGCTGCTTCTTATCACTTAGGGGGAGTCACCCATTTCCTTCTCTGTTTTGTCTGCTTTCCCAACCCAAAACTAAGTGGTCCATGGCTTAGTATTGTGACAACTTTACAGCATTGTTTAAATGACCTACTAAGGTCTGTTTTGTCCCTCATATCATATACATACAACAAAGTCCATGGCTTAGTATTGAGACAACTCTACAGAATTGTTTAAATGAACTACTAAGGTCGGTCTTGTCTCTCATCATATACATACAACGTCCATGGCTTAGTATTGAGACAATTCTACAGCATTGTTTAAATGAACTACTAAGGTCTGTCTTGTCTCTCATATATATACAACGCCCATGGCTTAGTTTTGAGACAACTCTACAGCATTGTTTAAATGAACTACTAAGGTCTGTCTGGTCTCTCATATACATCATACTCATACAAAAACAAAGTCCATTGTTTAGTATTGAGACAACTACAGCATTGTTTAAACTGAACAATCACGATAAATTAGATGCAAAAATAATCTAGCGACTACGGTGTTCGGCAATTGGCAATTTCCGTTACCATGGAAACCATTCAAAACTTGTTTCGGAAATGTTGGCTGGGGTTTCGGGATGGGTCCTAATCTCTCATGAAATTTTGCGATTGGTGTGATTTTCATCCACTATAAAAAGCTGAAAACGGCGGGAAGGAACCCGATTAACAGCGCATGTCTACGACAGCCGGACGTCCTCTGTTTTTCTGTTAAATCAGTTTGATTGAAAATACTGAATAGCAATAAGTTTTTCATGGTTGGCTTTAGGCTTTAACTGTTACTCGTCCTGGTAATGTTAGTTATAATTGAATTCTCCGTCCAATTTTACATTTGTGTATAAAATTTAAATTTCTTTCTGAACAGTGGCTAGGTAGATGTACAGTGACATTTTTCAGGCAATCGCTGGCTCAGCCAGTCTCATTGTCTGCCATCTTGTCCAATGCAAACAAAGCCAAAACGATAAGTGCGCAGTTTGGTTGCGCAGAGAAAACTTCTTGTTTCTGGGAGACAAGTTTTAGCAGCTGTTTTTTTACATTTCATCTCCACAAAAACCTACATTCCTACATATCTCAGCTCAGAGATGACATACAAGCCTAAATGAGGTACCGTTGGAAAGACTGTTTACATTTACAGCTATCTAACTGTGCTGGTTTTATTGGTGTAGAGGGCATTTTTGATGCCTGCAAGAAAAAACATTAACTATAGCCAAAACAAACAAACGTTTAACTCAGCCATAAGTAGCTCGGATGAAAATTCACAAGTCGACCTAGTCTAGCTAACAATTCTAAATATAAACGCGATGACAAACGTTCATTTTATTTGTGTACAGTACAATTTCATTTCTATTTTACAAAAATTCCGATCTACGTATCACGACAAATGTACCTTGATTTTCCCACACCGCTCTCCCCAATTATTAGTATCTTCAAAGTCGTTAAGATCTCCTGTTCCTCCATTAGAGACAATTTATGTAGTAAACAAATCTGCACCTAATAACCGCACAAACAACCAAGTCTGACTAAAAGTCCAGCTCTGTTTACGAACTTGTACAAGATGGCGTTCTTGTGACACTGTCTGCCAGATATTCTTTGTTGCAACATTGTGTTTACAAATGTTAAACACGTAAATCAAAGCAATATTCTAAAATGACTTCACATTTGTACCAACATTAACAATTTGAATAACACGTTTATCTTATAATAATTTTGTGTGTTGAACTCATATATAGAGCTAACAAACTTATTTGTATTATGTTGTGATGAAAATAACAAACAATTGTTGCCAAACTGGCATAAAAAGTTAGTGTAAGTATAAGAACATTACAAAACAAGGATTTCGGAAAATTATAACAAAACACGTCATTCCAAAAAAAAAACAGCTGATCGTTTTATGATTTATGGCATCGTCAAATTTTTGGTTATGAACACGGCAGGGAATGAAACTAAAAGCAAATAACACGATCTATACCAAGAAACCTTCAGAAAATATGGTTAACATAAAAGAATAAAGTGTATATACCTGGGAAAATGTAGCTAAAATGTCATTGAACGATGTGACTCTGAGCAGTGAAAATCAAAGCGGAGTTTGCAGTTGTGCAGAGCCAGCGATGTCTGCTCAAATACAGCTAATAGTTAGTTCGATTCTTCAAATGCAGAGTAACAACTACATATTCTCGTTATAGATGAAGATACTGCGAGTTAATAGTATAATGTAATAAAATAATTTAATTCTGGAGGTGATGATTTGCAAATCTAGGCTTAGTTTCCATCCAGTCATGAGCGAAATCCCACGTAAATTTCGTCAGTGAACGAAGGTGTGCATGGTTGCTTTATATTGTGTTCAGCTTAACTCTTTGAGTCCCAGGGGGTTTCGCATCAGAGGCCCAAGGGACAGTCAAAAGAGATGTAAAATCGACGCATCTTGTGTTCACTGGGCTTCTAAGTTGGAACCTATGAACGTTTGATGCGTTCCTTGGGACTCAAAGAGTTAATGCATTATCATTTTTAACTATATTTCTTAGTCGCAGAATACAATTTTTGAAATTAAAAAGCACCCCCCACCCTACCCCTTCTCTTTTTACTCTTAGCATATTTTGTTTAAAACACTAGCCCTGCATTTTACACAATCTTTAGGCAGACTGCCTAACATTTTACACAATCTTTAGGCAGACTGCCTTACATTTTACACAATCTTAACTCTTTGAGTCCCAGGGGGTTTAGCATCACAGGCCCAGGGGTAGTAAAGAAAGTAATAAAATTGACGCATCATGCGTTCATTGGGCTTCTAGGTAGGAACCTATGAACGTATGATGCGTTCCTTGGGACTTAAAGAGTTAAGGCAGAGTGCCCTACATTCTACATTGTGTTTATGCAGCGTGTACTACATTTTACACAATCTTTACACGGAAGGCTTACATGTAAATAAACTTTAAGCAGAGTGTCTTACATTTACGTAATATTTAGGCAGATTGTCCTAAATTTACATAACCTTCAGGCAGTACCCTAAATTTTGCACAATCTTTAGGCATAGTGCCTTACCTTTTACATAACCTTTAGGGATAGTCAAACCCCCTCATCAAAAGGGATTTCAACAACTGAGCACCATCCAGCAACAACTGTGCTATTGTGGCCTTCATAATCTGAGAGTGTAAGAAAAAAAAGGAGAGGAAGTCAATAAGTAAGTCACAAATGGCTGTTTGAGAAAAAAAAAAAAAAAAACTAAAGATGATAATTACTTGAAAACCCTTTATTTTCATACTTACACTGTCCCTTTATTTTCAACATAATTTCCATCAACATTGATGCACTTTTCCTGTCATTTTATCAGTCCTCCCAAACCTGCTGCATAGAACTGCATGCTCTGTTTTCTAAACCACATTTTCAGTTCACATTCAACTTCTGCGTCATTCGCGAAATGTCTCCCACGTCCTTAAGAAAATTTATTTACGCAGCTATGCACCACTTTACGGGATAAACATTTGTCAGCATGAAAATGAAGCATTTCCTTATGAATATATTTTGCAGGCAGCCCTTTTGCCCCCCCCC